ACCTTCCCAGCCCACAACTTAGTGGTTTTATGGGTCAGTCTTTAACTCAATAATCAAGGGTGGGTTAGGTTGTTAAGGAGAGGGGGACCAGATGCATTTTTTTTTTTTTTTAAATTCTGGAGCTAGGCCCATCAAGTCTAAAATCCCTAAAACAAAGGCAAAGCACAAAATGGAATCAGACCAGCTTGGGCCCCATCTCAGGGTCCACTTCCGAAACAGCCTGAGCAACAACACTAAGCTTTCTCTGCTCAAGGCTGGTGCTCTACCACTTCAGCCATAGTTCCACTTCTGGCTTTTTGCTAAATAACTTAATAACTTAACAGTCTCATGGATTTTCTTACCCAGGCTGGCTTTGAACTTCCATCTTAGGTTCTCAGTCTTCTGGGTAGCTAAGATTTCAGGCATGAGGCATCAGCTCCTGGCTTCTTCTTCAGTTAAGAACTGAAATTCTTTGCTTTACATGGTAAGAATTCTATTATTGCATGCAAAAAGATAGTAAAGGTATCAAAAGAAAAGTGGTGTCACTAGTTAAGAAGGTGTTGCTATGAAAATAGGTGCTGATGGTTCATACCTGTAATCCTAGCTATTCAGGAGGCTGAGGTCTGAGGATTGTGGTGGAAAACCAGCATGGGCAGGAAAGTCTGCAAGACTGTCATGTCCAATTAGCCACCAAAGAGAGAGAGAGAGAGAGAGAGAGAGAGAGAGGGGGGGGGAAGAAAGCAAGCAAGCAAGAAAGAAAGAAAGAGAGAGAAAAAGAAAAGCCAGAAGTAGATCTGTGGCCAAAGTGCTAGAGCACAAGCCTTGAGCACAAAAGCTCAGCGACAGTGCCCAGGCCCTGAGTTCAAGCCCCAGGACCAACACTAGAAAAGACAATTAAAAAAAGCTGAGCACTAGTGGTTCATGCCTGTAATCCTAGCTAGTTACTCCAAAGGCTAAGATCTGAGGGTGACAGTTAGAAGCCAGCCCAGGCAAGAAAGTCCGTGAGCCTCTTATCTCCAATTAAGGATCAAAAAGCTGGACGTAGAGGTATGGCTCAAGTGGTAGAGTGCTACCTTGAGCAAAAGTTCAAGCTCCAGGATTAGAAAGAGAGAAAGAAAAAGATATTGCTATTGTCCAAGAAAAAGAAACAGCTGGCCTGGACTGAATGACTGCAGCAGGGGTAGATGGACTGAAGATTTATTGGAGAAAAGAAGGAGAGGGGAGATAGTTGAAGGCTGGATGTGAAATAGGAAAAAAAAAAAAAAGGAATTATGAATCAATTTTAGTTTAGACTTGGGCAACTGGCAAGATGGCTTACTATTCTGTTCAGTGGGGATGTCGGGGAGTTACCACTTAGTGGGGTGGTCTGTCACCTGCTTAGATATATTAATTTTGGTTATAATTAGTTTTGAACATATTAATTTTAAAATACTTTGGAAGTATCAAAGAGACTTTTTTTTTTTTTTTTTGGTCGGTTGTGGGGCTTGAACTCTGGGCTTGAGCACTGTCCCTGTGCTCTTCAGCTCAAGGTGAATACTCTACAGCTTGAGCCACAGCGCCACTTCCAGGTTTCAAGTGGTTTATTGGAGATAAGAATCTCATGGAGGGCTGGGAAGGTGGCTCAGTGGTAGAGTGCTTGCCTTGCATGCATGAGGTCCTGGGTTCGATTCCTCAGCACTACATAAGCAAAAAGAAAAAAGCCAGAAGTGGCACTGTGGCTCAAGTCGTAGAGCATTAGCCTTGAGCTGAAGAGCTGAGGGACAGTGCCCAGGCCCAGAGTTCAGGCTCCACGACTGGACCTCCTCCCGCCCCCCCCCAAAAAAAAAGAATCTCATGGACTTTCCTGCCAAGGCTGGCTTTGAGCCTAGATCCTCAGATCTTAGCCTCCTAGGATTACAGGTATGAGCCATCAGTGCTTGGCTGAGACTGTTTGATTAAGATCAGAATTGAGAAGACTGTAGGGTCAGACGCTGGTGCTCACACTTGTAATCTGAGGTACTCAGGAGGCTGAGATCTGAGGATCATGATTGGAAACTAAACCGGGCAGGAAAGTCTGTGAAATTTATATATATATATATGTAATTATTTTTGGTTGTTCGTGGGGCTTAACTCTGGGCCTGGGCACTGTCCCTCAGCTTTTCAGCTCAAGATTGGTGCTCTATCACTTGAGTCACACTTCCGGTTTTCTGGTGGTTTATTGAAGAGTCTCATGGACTTTCCTGCCCAGGTTGGCTTTTTTTTTTTGTCAGTTGTGGGGCCTGAACTCTGTGCCTGGGCACTGTCCCTCAGCTCTTCAGCTCAAGGCTAGTGCCCTACCACTTGAGCCATAGTGCCACTTCTGGCTTTTTTTTTTTTTTTGCTTATGTGGTGCTGAGGAATCAAACTCAGGGCCTCAGGCATGTGAGGCGAGCACTCTACCTCTGAGTCACCTTCCCAGCCCCCCAGGGTGGCTTTGAACCATCATCCTCAGATCTCATCCTCCTGAGTAGCTAGGATTATAGGCATGAGCCACCAAAGCCAGGTGCCTGGGAAATCCTTATCTCTAAATACTCAAAACAAAAGCTGGAAGTGTAGCTGTGGCTCAAGTGATAGAGCACTAGCCTTGAGTAGAAAAGCTCAGGGACAGCACCCAGGTTATGAGTTTAAGCTCTAAAACTGGCACAAAATAAGAAAACAAACAAAAAAAGAGATTGTGGGGCAGGTATGAGTTTCCTCTGGAAATCATTCACATAGATAGTATGTAAATCCTTGGAAACTGCCAGGCAGATGTGGCTCATGCCTATAATCTGCACTACTCAGGAGGATGAGACCTGAGGATCTCAGTTTGAAGCTAGCTGGGGCAGAAAAACCCTTGAGACTCCTATATCCAATTAACCAGCAAAAAGCTGGAAGTAGAACTGTGGTTCAAGTGGTAGAGCACTAGCTTTGAACAAAAAGCTAAGTAAGAAAATGAGGCCCTGAGTTCAAGCCTCAGTGCCTACACACACACACACACACACACACACACACACACACACACACACACAAAGAATAAAATAAGGGTGTTTTCTAATGTGGGAATGTAAAATAGTACAGCAGCTCTGGAGGTTCCTCAAAAATCTAAACATGGATTTTTCCCACGACACAACCACATACCCCTGGGCATCTACCCTAAACATTACGAGCCAGGATATGATAAGGACACCTGTACATACATGTTCATTGCTGTACAATTCACAATAGTCAAGATATGGAAATAACCCAGATGCCCCACCGTAGGTAAGTGGATCCAAAAAACATGGTACCTATGTAGAATGGAATTTTACATAGCCATTAGAAACAATAAAATAATGTCATTTGAAGGGAAATAGATGAAACTAGAACAAATCATGTTAAGTGAGGTCAGCCAAGAACAGAGAGACAAACAGCCCATGTTCTCTCTGATATGTGGAAGTTTGATCTAAAAACGAACTGGGTTATGACAAATGGTACAGAATTCTAGATACATACACTGAGACCAAAAGAGAATACTCAGAAGAAAATCACAAAGGTGCAATGCTTAAGTTCCTCTTGATATTTGTATACAATAAAATACATACTGAAATGAACTCCAAGGTACAAAAGACTTTTTTTTTAAAGTTTTTGATGATTCTGTCTCCTTTACCTTTTACACGGTGTGTTCACGTGCATATCTTCAGGGGGATGGAAGGAGGGCACAGAACTCGAGGAAAAAGGGTGAAAAAGTGCAGCAGTGGCGCTCACTGGACACTGATGAAAGTGGACTCTACAACTTCTCGGAAGGAGATGGGAAGGAGGGACTGGAAGGCAGTGAGGGAGGAATTGTACTCATTACCTGACTCAGGTAATTGCAATCCCTCTGCACATCACTTCTAAGAGAACCATAAAGTAAGCATCTTACAAAGTCAGGATGTGTTGACAAGAAACGCTAGGAGTAACGATCGTGCCGGGAGGGGAACTGGGAAGCATTTTCTCTGTGCACACAGAACCCGTGAGAACCCGTGAGAAGCTGAGCTGGAAGAGCTGGGAGACGCCAGCGGCCGGCGGCTCATGCCTGTCATCCTAGGTCCTCAGGAGGTTGAGACCTGAGGATCTGGGTTCAAAGCCAGCCGGGGGCAGGAAAGGGGCAGGAAAGTCCGTGAGACTCTCATCTCCAATTAATCACAGAAAAAAGCCCGATGTGGCGCTGTGGCTCCCAGTGGTGGAGCTCTGGCCTGGAGTTCAAGTCCCAGGGCCGATGAAAAATAACGAAAAGCAGCTGGGTGCGGCCGGAGGCGCGTCGCGGAGGCTGCCGCGGGGTGACGGCCAGGGCGGGGCGGATCGAGGCCCGGGGGCCCGGCCTCGCAGGTGCGGGGCTCCGGAGGCGGCGCGCAGCCGGGGTGGAGGGGAGGGGGAGGGCGCTCCGCGGGGTGGCGGCCGGCGGAAGGTGCGGGTCCTGGGCGGGCGGGAGCGATGCGGGGCCGGCCCCCGGCGTCACCTGGCGGGGGGACTCGGAGGGCGGGCTCCGCTCCGGCCGGGCCTGCGGTCCCCCTCGGTGGGGGGGGGGAGGCTTCCGTCCGGTCCGCCCGTCCCCGGCCTCCCCGCCCCCTGCGCCGAGCGCGGGCCCGGAGCCAGCGGCACTGCATCATTTCTTTCTTTCTTTCTTCTTTTTTTTTTTTTTCCAAGGCTGCGGCAGGGCCCGCGGGGAGCAGGTGGAGAGAACCGAGCCGGCGAGCGGGCGCGCCGGACCCAAAGGAAGACTGCAGTGACGCGGGGGCCCGGAGACATGGCGGCCTCTGAATAAGCAGAATCCCGAGGCGGCCCCCGCCCCGCCGCGCCCCCCGCCCTCCCCGCCCACCCCGCACCATGCCGGGCGGGTGCTGAGCGCAGGCCGGGCCGAGCCTCGGCCCCGGGCGGGGAGCGGCGGCCCCGGGCCCGGCGTCGGCCTCGCCCGTGCGTCCGTCCGGAGCCCCGTCCCTCCCGCTCCCACCGCTGCGGTCGCCGCTCCCGCCCCCTCCCCCGGCCCCGCACCTCGGCGTCCGCACCCCGCGCCTGGACTATGGCCGCTGAGGAAGCCGTGCAGACGGCCGAGCACTACCGGGCGGAGGTGGAGCGGCTGAGCCGCGAGCTGGCCGAGACCACCCATGAAAAGATCCAGGCGGCCGAGTACGGGCTGGTGGTGCTGGAGGAGAAGCTGACGCTCAAGCAGCAGTACGACGAGCTGGAGGCCGAGCACGACGCGCTCAAGCAGGAGCTGGAGCAGCTGAAGGAGGTGAGGGGAGAGGAGCCGGCCCCCCACTGCCCGGGGAGAGAGGCCGCGGGGACGGCGGGGTCCGGAGACGCCATCGAGAGCCCTTTGTTGGTCGGAGATAAATGAAAGGGGCCATTGTGACCCCCACCCCCTGCGCGCACACACACACAAACACATATACACATATATACACACACATATGCACATACACACATACACATATACACACATATACACATGCACACACAAAAACACATACACACATATACACATACATATACACACATACACACATGCATACACATACACACATACAAACACACACACACATATATACACATACACACATATATACACATACACACATATACACATACACACACACACACACACACACACACACACACAGGCCAAGAGAAAAATAATAGCCTAAGAAATGAATGATGTCTACGCCTGAACTGGGCAGGCTGAGGCAGGGGGGTGGGGTGGGGGTGGGGGAGGCTCTCCTAAGTCCTCCGGTCCCCCTGCTCCCATTATAGGTTGCAATACAGCAATCAAACTTCCCCAAATTGCGGTGGCTCGCGCCTGTCATCCTAGCTTACTCTGGAGGCTGAGATCTGAGGACCGCAGTTGGAAGCCAGCCTGGGCAGGAAGGTCCATGAGACTCTCATCTCTCCAGTTAGCCAGCAAAAAAAGCTGGAAGTGGAGGTGTGTGTGGCGCAAGTGGTAGAGTGCCAACCTTGAAGAGAAAAAGCTAACGGACCTCACTAAGTCCCAGCACAAAATACAACACACACCCACACACACCCTGCTGTGATTTCGCTGATGATCTTATTATATACCCAGGTTTGTAATTGTGGACCCAGAATTTCAGGCTGGTTGAAATCTGGCATGTAATGGTCTTTGCTGATAACTGCTTTTCGAGGGGACTAAACAGTGTTTGGAGAGCCCTTCCATCCAGTTTGACAAAGGTGATCTGCTTTGCCTTCCTGTCATTCTTGTCCTAAGGCTGAGGACACTCATTAACTTGGCTGGCTGATTTTGCTGTCTTGATGGTGTCTCTGAGCCAGGCAGGGCCAGGCCAAAGTCCTATGAAGTCACCCTAACCAAGGCAAATTGAACTCCTCCCTAGATGGCCTGAAGGAACCTGACCTAGGGAGCTCTGTATTTGAAATGAGTCTCTTCAGGTTGAAGTGACTTCTTAAACATCACACAGCACCAAAGGGCTGTGGTGAACATTGTTCTTTTGGTATTTGGTGGTGGTTGTTTTGTAAAGATTGGCTATCAGCTACTTAAACATAATTTTTAAAAAACAAAATTTGCTAAGGCAATAGAAGAAAATAAGGTGTTTGGATTTTCCATTAAGCATTTATAAGACTAGACGTATTATCAGAGTCTTCTTTATCTGCTTATGGAGGCACAATAACAAGTAACCAAGAATAAATTTGACGTATGCACTGCTTTTCTGAGTGGCAATCTTTCAATTAATTACTAATTATTTATTAAGTTTTAAATGCATACTGGCATTTAATATTGTCATATAATATACCAAAAAATCTTTTTTCTTTTTTTTTTTTGGGTCCGGTCATGGGGCCTGAACTCTGGGCCCGAACGCTGTCCCTCAGCTCTTCAGCTCAAGATTAGCGCTCTACCACTTGAGCCACAGCGCCACTTCCGGCTTTTTTCTTTTCACTTATGTAGTACTTAGGAATCGAACCCAGGGCCTCATGCATACAAGGCAAGCGCTCTACCACTGAGCCACCTTCCCAGCCCCCAAAAATCTTTTTTCTTTGTAAATTTGCTCTAGAGGGAAGGAAAGGTCATGTTTTGTGTGGTTTTGCTGAAAAGACATGATTTTTGAGATTCTAATAAATCTGCCTTCTGATGTAATACAGATAGGGTAAATATATTTTCAAATGTCCCATTTTTGTTCAGAGATTAAATATCAAAAAGAGTCAATGTACTAAAATAAGTCAAAAGGAGAAATGTAATTTTTTTTCTTTTTTCTTTTTGTTTTGTTTTTTGTTGGTCTTGGGACTTGAACTTTGGGTTTGGGCGCTGTCCCTATGCTCTTCAGCTCAAGGCAAGCGCTCTACCGCTTGAGCCACAGTGCCACTTCCTGTAATTTTTTTTTCCTCTTGCAATACTAGGCCACAAGTTCTAGCTTCTTTTTTTTTTTTTGGTTGGTCGTGGGGCTAGAACTCTGGGCTTGGGCTCTTCAGCTCAAGGTGAGCACTCTACCGCTTGAGCTACACCACCATTTCTGGTTTTCTGGTGGTTTATTGGAGACAAGAGTCTCATGGTCTTTCCTGCCCGGGCTGGCTTTGAATCATGGTCATCAGATCTCAGCCTCCTGAGTAGCTAGGATTACAGACATGAGCCACCAGCGCCTGGCTTCTAGCTTCCTATTTTTCTTTCTAGGCTGATCTTCCCATCAGCCAGATTTGTTTATGTTTTGCAGTCACATTAACTTTTAGACTGGCATTTATTTATTTATGTGTGGTGCCAGTCCTGGGACTTGAATTCAGGGTCTGGGCACTGTGCCTGAACTTTTGTTGCTCAAATCTAGTGCTCTACCACTTGAACCACAGATCCACTTCTGGCTTTTGTTTTGTTTTGTTTTTGTAGTTTATTGGAGGTAAGAGTCTCATGGATTTTTCTGCTGGGGCTGGCTTTGAACCATGATCTTAAGACTCCAGCTTTTTTGCTGCTTAATTGGAGATAAGAGTCTCTCAGATTCATCTGCCTCCTTGATCCTCAGATCTCAGCCTCCTGAGTAACTAGGATTACAGAGGTGAGCCACAGGTGCTCTGCTGATGTTCCCTGTTTGATCCACCATAGGAGCTCTTATTCAAGAGGATTTTCCACCCACCAGCTGATGCTTACCTGGTGTATCCAAAAAAAAAAAGGAAATTCAAAATAATTGTGCAGGTGATGGAGGCGTGGCTCAGGTGTTAGAGTACCAGCCAATGAGCAAAAACATCAGATGAGTTTTAGTATCTGAGTGTGCCCATTGAAGTATTCCAATGTGGATGCCATACAGAAGCTTTTTTTCTCCCTTTTTTCTTTCCCTTTTTTTCTTCTTCTGTCAGTCTTGGGGCTTGAACTCTGGGCCTGGGTGTTGTTTCTGAACTCTTCAGCTCAAGGCAAGCAAGTACTCTACCACTTGAACCATAGTGCCACTTCCCAGAAGGTATTTTTTAATATATATTTTTTTATTGTCAAGATACTGTACAAAAAGATTACAGTTACATGAGTAAGGTATGGTAGTGAGTACATTTCCTATTGAGCATTGTTACCCCCTCCTTTGTCCCAGAAGCTATTTTTTGAGCCAGTTGCTTATGTATTTAATTTTAGATTCTTGGGAAGTAGAGATTGGGATCGTGATTTGAGGCCAGTTTGGACAAAATAGTCCATAAGTTCTCATTTCAATAGGCAGAAGTTGGGCTTGGTGGTATGTGCCTGTCATCCTGGCTGCCGCAGAAGACATAAATAGGGAGATCATAGTCCATGCTGTCCAGGTAAAAAGTGAGACTATCCAACAAACAGAGCAGAAAGGACTATGGGGATACTTCAAGTGCTAGAGTGTTCCCTATCAAGTGCAAGTCCTTGAATTCAAATCCCAGTGCCAGGGCTGGGGTTGTGGCTTAATTGTAGAGTGCTGGTAATGCACTTACAAATATGTTTTTCAATTCCTTTGTCTTTTGTAGTGGTACAGGGATTATTTATTTATTTATTTATTTATTTATTTGCCAGTCCTGGGGCTTGAACTCAGGGCCTGGGCACTGTCCCTGAGTTTTTCTTGCTTAAGGCTAGCACTCTATCACTTGAGCCACAGGGCCACCTCTGGCTTTTTCTGTTTTTGTGGTACTGAGGAATTGAACTAGAGTGCTAGGCAAGTACTCTACCACTAAACCACATTCCTAGCCCCAAGTGCATTGTTTTTACAAAGGGAAGTTTTGTTTATTATCATCAGGAGTTACAGTAAATGTTGTTGTATTATATCTAGAAAGCTGAGGAAAAACTAAGTGCTGGGGACTCATACCTGTGAACCTAGTTTCTTGGGTGGCTGAGATTTGAGAATGGAGGTTTGAATCCAGTTCAGGCCATCAAAAATTGAAAGAGAGCTGAGCACTGGTGGCTCACGCCTGTAGTCCTAGCTACTCAGGAGGCTGAGATCTGAGGATCATGATTCAAAGCCAGCCTGGGCAGGAGTCCGTGAGACTCTTATCTCCAATAAAGCACTAGAAAACCGGAAGTGGCGCTGTGGCTCAAGCAGTAGAGTGCTTGCCTTGAGTTGAAGAGTACAGGGACAGTGCCCAAACCCAGAGTTCATGCCCCATGACCAACAAAAAAAAGAATGTGTGGGCTTGAGTTCAAATCCCAGTATCAGCACACATGCAAAAGTACTTCATAGTCAATGTTGCTATTGAATTATAACTATAAATCAACAAAGAAATCTGGGAATCATTTGTAAGTTCTTTTACCAAATATGATTCATTGAAAAGTAACAGGGCCAATTTATGGGAATGTCAGCAAAAAACTATTGCACTAAATTCAAGTGCGACATTAGTAATTTTCTGTTCATTGGGTTTTTCTTTCCTTCCTTCCTTCCTTTCTTCCTTTCTTTCTTTCTTTCTTTCTTTCTTTTTTTGTGCTTTTACGAGGGCTTGAACTCAGGGCCTGGGTGCTGTCCCTAAGCTTTTTTACTCAAGGCTGACATGCTACCATTTTAGCCACACCTTTATTTTCAGGTTTTTGGTGATTAATTGGAGATGAGTTTCATGGACTTTCCTAGTTGGGCTGGCTTTGAATTGTGATTCTCAGATATTAGCCTCCTGAGTAGCTAGGGTTGCAAGTATTAACCACTGGCTCTTATGGCTCAGTCTTTGTAGATCACTCTGGTGTTTGGGGTCAGCATCTCAGAGAGTTGTTCTTTATTTCCAAGGTTGAACACTGATGAAAAGGCCAGGAAACAATGTATTCTGAGGATGTGCAACATTAATAACATGAAATAATTC